AAGCAGTAATTGTATTTTATTATCTGTAGTTATAAGCACGTTCTCTGTTTCATTTATACTAATTTCGATTGTTCTTCTGGTACCAATATCATATTTATATATCAAATAATTTCAAATAAGTGGTTTGAAATAAAATGGTTACTTAAAATTATTTGGGTCTTTAAAAATTTTCCTAACATAAAAGTTAGTTTTTTTACAACATGTTAATTAATGCAATGTAGCTTCGGCATTATTTGTTGAACTGGGTATGTCGGGTAGTATAGAACCTGCAGTCATGGGCCTTATTATAGCTTGGAATGTACCAATCATCATTTTCGCATCACTTCCATCCGCTTCTCTCTTCACTATATTTGATTCTTTAATAGGCGGTGTATCATTTTCGTCATTCTGCTTTTCTTTCTCAAAATCTTCATCGAATGATGCTTGTTTAGGCTGTTTCAGTTCAGTTATTTTATTATCTGTATTTATAAGTACATTCTCTGTTTCGATTATATTAATTTCGATTGTTCTTCTATCACCAATATCGTATTTATTTATCAGATAATTGACAGGAAGACTTGAAATTAATGAAAATAAGAAAATATGAAGTACAAACAAGCGTAATGTTAGAGACATGTTGTTCGTTTGTGATAAAATTGAATATTCGCTGATTATAAGTAGCATCGTTTACTTGATATTCCATATTGAGTATGAAGGAGGAATTTTAAATAGATAGATAAACTTATCTATGTAGATATATGGGTTTCTATGTTACATGCATGTGCATAAAGGTAACTTGTTTCGAATTTTTATAATTATCGATGTTGCTTACCTCGGCTGACATATCAACAGACTGGAATTAATTATAGCTTTGAACAAAATAATCTTTGTTTGAAACTTTTTAATAACTTGAATATTTAAATTTAAAAATAATTTTAATACAATAAATATTGTATAAATTAGTTTTATATAAATTAATTTTTATAACAAATTTTGTATTAAATTATGCAATAATTTTGTTTAGGTTATCTATGTACGTTAAATAAACAATAATACTGCTCCAGACAATCATTGTCTATGTATCTACTTTGTACTTAGTTTTGTTACGATTATTGAAGGCCTCGGTGATTTAGCGATTAAACATAAAGCCTTACTTCCGATGGTCGCGGGTTCGATTCGTCGCATGGCACAAACATTTGTATTCATGAGTATGATTGTTTGTATCGGTCTGGGTGTTTTCTATGTATAATATATGTATTTACGAAAAAAAATATCTACGTAATTGTATAACACAACATTTAGCTAACTTAACTTGGGTCTAGAGAGCGCTGTGTTAATTGTCCTTAGATTATTATTGTTAATTATTATCTGCCTAATAAATATCAAATTCGGTCAAACACTTTTAAACTACAAATAATAATAAAATCTTAACTACTAGAATAAAAAATCAAACAGAAATTGCGCGAAGTCGGTACGCCCCTTTGATCATATTATAATCATATAACATCGCCAAATTTATCAGGCACGTCAAGCAAACAGCAAAAATTCCATTTAATAACTGGCCGGATGTCTCTTCTAATCCGTTAGTATACGCCCCGCCCGCCTATGATCTCCACGTGATTACTGCTGCCCTAGTACTTGAACACGTTGATTATGTTAAAAAATATTATTCGGACACGTCATAAAAAGTGTAAATAAACGTCTTTTCACGAGAACGTGTTGGATTTAAATGATATTTTTTTATTAAAAATTATTTAAAACTAAGGAGGTATCTTTGAATGAAGTTATTAAGGTGAATAAATTAATGGGTAAGTAATATGTACCATTGCAATTTTAATTTCAGTATTTTAAATAATATATACTAGATGATAGGCTGTAGTTTAACCATGATGACATTAGCGAGGTTATTTTCGTTCGAGGACAGAATCATATATTTATATTTAATTTAATCGACTATCGCAAGTTAAGGCCAGAAATTACAGTAATAAATTTAAAATAGCAACTAGTCCCTATTTATCTCTCACATTGTATTAATGATTTACTTATTAGGAAAAAAATACCATATACTACAAATGTCAATTTAAATTTCCAATATATTTTTACAAATAACTCTTAAAATTTTATAATTTATTGTACATAGAATAATAATTAATGTTCTTTATTTAAAATTCCGTTGCATGTCTTTATTAAAAAGTAAACAACGTTGGCGCCAAATTGCTAACGTATAATTTCAAAAGAGAAATATGTATTATATTGCATTGTAATTGTAATTTTATTTAAATATTAATTTGATATTTTATTTAAATAATTAATTTGAATTATGACTTGAAGCATGGATATGGATAATAAATACTTAGTAAGGGTTTACGTAAGTAATAAATTTTTCAAAGAAAATACGATATGTTCACTTATATTAAAATAAATAAAAAAAGTACAACGAAATACTAAAAAATCTGGTAGTCTAGGAAAATATCTTTATTTTATTTAAGTACCCATATTATTCATTGGGTAAATTATGTGAAAACACTATGCCCACAAAATACACTTACTTGTTGTTTGATGAAAACATTAAATGGTAATTTATACATTTGTGATGATAAAATATTAAGGAAAATGTGATTTTGATGTCTATTTTTGAGACATACAGTCATATGGGATGATGAACTGATACCAACGAGATGAGGATTTAGTCTATCTTAGCCATATTTTAAGTTAATCTCGCAATTTTTTTACTTCGTGTCAATACATTAGGTATAATATAGGTTATAATATGATTATACCAGAGCATAACTACTTTTATTTCACAGTCAGACGCTTTGTTCAGGTCTTCCTTCATCCAGGACGATGGTAACAAAATACATCACAGGAAATGGGACATAGTCGCAAGTCTCCCAGGTAGTAATACTACATTTCATTAGGTTGTGCCTATAGCGAGCCTATGTTTCCCTATGTTCCCCTCTTACAATATTCTGGGAACAAAAACGTAAAAATATTTTGTAATTCATGACAAGGTACTAGAATGTAATTTTAACATATTTTCAATCTACTTTAAAAATAATAACGTTCATAATTTTATTGTATTTTTTGTCTATTCAAAAAAATTACAATAATCAAAACCAATTTTAATGAGATTTTTGTAATCAACCCTGTTCTCCCCTATTAGCATCGTTCCTACCGTATATTTTTTTCATTCATGGAAATGATGATGTAGTATATTTTATTCATATTTATAGCTTCTAATAACATATCAAACAAAGTAAACAAACAATTCAATGTAATGGGACAACAAACACGATCGTAATCGAGCACGATTATAAAGATTTGAATAATTATAACCTACAAATTGCCCTGTTTTGTATCGTATCAAGCAATTGTAGAGAAATTTAAATACAGTTCGACATAAGTAGAATACTAGTGTAGTATTATGCTATTTGTGTAAGTTAGGGTGACATTATTTATTCATCAAAACTGTTATCTAAAGCTGTATGGCTCATGTTTTTGGTATCCTCCTAAAGAGCAAAAATTATAAAAAAATGTGAAAAATAAATATCCATATTCAATTTCATAACCTAAAATTAAATTACAGTTTGAACGAGATACTTTGTACAGTGTTAAATTATATTAAAACTTTTCAAGCTTAATTATAAATGTGCTGTAATACTAATCACACAAGTCTAATACTAACTAACATTAAAATACATTTTTTTTTAAATATTTGTTAGAAATAGTACACATTCAGTGGTTATAGTCAGTCAAGGACATAGTTTCTGCAGCTCACACACACGTAACAGGATTCAAGAATGATTATCATGTACAGAAGTACATTTAAAAGCAAGACATTTTAGTATTCCCCAGGGGATGGGGATTACTAATAATCAATTTATCACAATGGGCTAACTGACCTGACATCAGCTCATCTTATCATCCTCAACTACACCTTACAATGTAGTAAAAATATATATTTCTTAGCAGATTTACGTGCTTGTTTACAGAGCAACAACGTTATGTTTTTTTATTGGTTTGAGAATAGAGCGTACTCGATAAACAAATAAACATGTTATTATGTTGCATATTTAATTAATGTAATTTTATTTATTAAAATTACAATAAATTTGTAAAAATATAATATAATAATAATAATAAATAGTTATTGCTGTCTTAGGTTGTGTTACATAATTAAGTTGTAGGTACATAACTGTAAATACAATTTAAACATACGAGTGTAATTGTGCCACTTGAACTTGTATAGAATTATACTGTATCTCAGATGTCACATACCTTCCCAGGGTGCATTATTTTTCATTTATTCACATTTGCTCTTACATAACATAATAACATACATACTACTTAACATAACATTACATAAACAATAAAAAAATGAAACAATAAATACAAAACAATACAAATACAAAAACTTTCGTGTTTAATATACATTATTTATATTATTAACCGGGTCTTATCACGAACGGTTAGTGCAACCTAGTCGAAACATCGAGAAAGGTTTATTTGCCATAAAATTAGTTCGTGTTAAGACCCGGTTAATAATATAAATAATGAATAAAATACATAAAAATCATTTTTTTTATAAACTGTATATTATAACTTGCCGTACATGTAAGTCTCTTATATCCTTTAAATTTTATAACAAGGTTTCGTAGTCAGAAACTTGTGTTTAACAAAACCGATGTAGTAGTAAAATCTTGGAAATCTACGTAAATAACTTATATGTACATAGATAATACAAGGTGTCTATTAAAAGTATTAATAAATGGTATTCGTATATTGATGTATTAGTCTATTTTGTAATCAAATTAATATAATAAATAGCTGAGAAAAAATAAAAATTATACATGCAACCGTATGTCACAGTGATAGCGTACAAATTACTCTAATGACTATAATATTACTTATACCTTTAGTATATTAATATATTTCTCCACCAATTCCCCATATTGTTATAATCTCAAAGATATTGCTTACAGACAATATATTTAAATTAAATAGATTTTGTTGTATTAAAAATGTTCAAGAAAACTGGAGTTGTTAGAAGATATGAGTATTTTGTTACGCCCATATATGTTAAAGAGCTCGGTGAGTTTATAATAATAAGGTGTGTTTCGATTGTAGGATGGTAGATAGACGACCTCGGTGGTCTAGCGGTCTAGCACACCGCTTTACGTCCGATGGTCACGGGTTCGAATTCTCGCACGGTACATACATTTTCATTCATGAATATATGTTTGTATCGGTCTGGGTGTTTTCTATGTATAATATGTAAGTATTTACGAAAAATAAAAATTATCTATGTATTTGTATCAGTTATATAGTACCCATAACACAAGCTTTAGCTGGCTTAACTTGGGTCTAGATGGCGCTGTGTGAATTGTCCTGAGATTATTATTATTATTATAGATAGATAGAAAATAAATTTGTGCTACAAAATACAAAACTGGTACATCGTTTCAGTGTGAAGAATCACTCAAGGAGCAAAACACTGATATTCAGCTATGTCCTCGAGGGTGAATAATGTACTTTTATATTTTAAAAACAAAAATATACTGAACGTAATAATATTAGTTGCAATTAGGCAGTGTAATTACAGAATAACATTTACGTCCTCTGGAATTGCAACGCAACGCATAAGTGGTATCACAGGTGTTATGATAATGAGATGTAAGTAGTACTATTCATTTACATTGCCAATTATTGTGGTTTACCATCTGCTGAGCCGTCAGCTTGTTTTGCAATTCACACCTCATTAGTTCCAATAGTTGTGAGTTCGATTCCTCGCATGGTGTAAACCTATAAATTGATGAATATGATTGTTTGCAAAGTTTTTTTATGTATATTATATATGTAATTACAATTTACAAAAAAATAAATGTATTTAAGTATTCATATAATTTATCTAGTACCCATAACACAAAGTATTCTTAGCTTGGAACTAGATAACTATGTGTCAATTGTCCTAGTTGATAACATACATAATAAAAAAGGTAATTCATAGTAATATTAGGCTGGTTTATTCGTTATTTTAGTTACTAATAAGTATAAAATATAGAGAATAAATAATAAAAGTCTTCATTACTCTGTACTTTGAAGGACTATTTCTCTTATTCTGAATGTAACACTTGTTTACCCTGTTTTGTCAACTAGAGACCGAGTTCATAAATTGTAGTAAAGAAAAAACAACTATTACATCAAATATTAAGCAAAAATCGGTGCCATAGATACTCCTAGTGTTAAACGTATTCTATAATAATAATTGCATTACTCAATGTAATTGTCATTTAGATAATTTTAATTACTTATTAATTATAAAAATTCATAATTGTGCAAATCGAGTGCTTGTGAGTGAGTTAATGACTTATTGATTCATTTTTAATGTACCGCCACGCCTTGTTTGCTTTTACTGTTATGGACGTAATAAATGAACATCGTAGCTTACTGAAATAGCATCTTTCACATCTATATATACATATAACAAAAATATAATTGATAGCTGTTTGTACATCAAAAGTATACACACATATGAGAAAATCTATTAAAGGACATTATTACCATAATAGAACCATTTATTTTTGTTAGAATTTTTGTCTGTTTGTCTATTAATCCGCACAGATTAATAGACAAACAGACAATAATTCTCTTCTTTGTGTGCGCTAAATACAGAAAGAGCTAAGATATGGCTAAAAAAAATCTACAATGTTAGAAAAAATGTTAGTCGGTAAAGTTCTATAATATTGTATAATGAAATAAAAATTTTCAAAAGCGAGCTCTCAAATTAATTTAAAAGAAATTATACACACTGTAATTTGTATATATTTATTAACAAAAAAGTAGTATCGTGACGTTTAAGGCAGTAAAATAGCGTAGCAGTGTAACGTAGTAGAGTAGAGTATCAGCGTAGCATAGCAGCGTAATGTAACAACGTAGCATATCAGCATAGCGTAGCAGCGTAAAGTAACAACGTAAAGTAGCAGCAGCGTAATATAGGAGCGTAGAATACCAGAGTAGCGTAGCAGTTTAATGTAACACAGCGTAATGTAGCAGCGTAGCGTACTAGAGTAGTATTTCGGTGAAAGTAGTAGCGTAGCAACGTAAGGCACCAACGTACCAGCGTAGCAGAGTAATGTAACAGCGTAACGTATCAGTGTAATATAGCAGCGTAGCGTAGCACCGCTGTCTCTCAGATTAAAGTTTTGATTGAGTATCGGCGTTTCCTTCATTGGAGAGTCAGGCAGAAATATAAATTGACACGCATAGACTTTTTTTTTACTTTTTTCATGGTAATAAAGCACTAGGCCATTACACTCATACGCGTAAGTTATATTAGTATTACCACATATAATATAATTAGATGTAATGCTATACCAGAATATTTGTTGAAACATATTTTTTAGGAAGACACGCCTATGACCTAATGTAAATATGTTTCAACAAATATTCTGGTATTACAGAATATTTGTTGAAATATATTTTTTAGGAAGACACGCCTATGACCTAACGTAAATATGTTTCAACAAATATTCTGGTATTACAGAATATTTGTTGAAACATATTTTTTAATAAGACACGCCTATGACCTAATGTAAGTTAATAGCATTACATCTATAACCTTCCAAGTAATGTATGAGTAATAAGTTTGCAAAGTTAAATACAATAGGATAAAGAGTATGTACGCAAATAAAATACAAACAAACAATTATTTATTTTTATACAGGTACACGATGAATATAAAATACAACTATACGGTTGTACAAGAATAGATTTATCCAGCACTTTATTTCAATAAATAATGTATATACAGTGCGCAGTTCATTGTAGTGAAAGATTAAATAATTCAGAGAAGGTGCGACAAACATGTCACATTTCTGGACATGTCTTTTGTTGTCAGAAATCCTTTAGTGATAACTAACGGATTGTTGACAACAAACTTCATAATAAAGTGATTCGATGGGAATTCATCTTTGATTGAAGGGGGTAAAAGATTTTTAGTAATGATGACCCCATTACTAGTAATATACCATGTCAGGTTGACCTCTATACGATACCTCCTGGAAACCTGAATGGGTTAACTGACCTGACCTCACGCTCATTTTATCATCCTCCGCCTGGTGCCCCGCCAGCGTAAACCGTTAGCCAGGCGGGTGCACCATTCCATTATAATCCAATAAAATGGGTTTAGGGCGGAGTTACATATCATCAAAAGCAAATAATATCGATAAAGTTGAGTGTTTACTATGATAAACACTTTAAGTGCTTAATAATAGTGTTATTAAGTGCTTATAGTGTTATCAAAAATACAACCACCTGCGAACTCTCCGGAATTAGGTGCCGGTGGTGGGTACTGCGGTGGGGTCACATGGGGTTTGTGGTCTGAAATACTTCCCTTTACTATAAATACAAGGCAAAGAGGGATGTTTAGTTGTGGGGACTGTTAGGATCCTTTCTACGAATACTATTTCAGGTTGACCTTCACGTGGACCCTTTTAGACACCATCGTTATTAATTTCTAGTCAGTTCATCACAGTGTACTAAATAACTTGACTGATTTTAGGCTCAATGTAACCATGACTTCAGATGCAAAGTTTGTCAGTCATAAATATGAATTGTCATATTTATGACTGAATCTCCTATGATGAAGACACCGATAAAAAAACAAATTAAGCCAAGTGGTGATTATTTCACGCCACGTTAGATTCACATATACCCTGAAATATAGGCCAAGTGTTGTGTTCACCATATTGCCGATAGTAGACAATGCCTGTAACTTATCCTATTTCGTTATAACAGTCGTGACGTTAAATTATTACGATTTATATTTGAAATGTTTCTAGGTGTGGAATCTACGAAAGTGGAGGATACGAGTGGTTCACCGGTGGGGACCGCGAGGTCCCGTGCCGTCCGGCCCACACACTGCGTCGTCGCTGGAGCCCATGCTTTAGTCCTCAGGGTAAATATAATTTATTATATAACCTCCCAGATGATCTAAACTATTAATCATTTTGTAAGAATCATGTAATGTGGATCAATGAACCCATTTCTAGTAATGTACCATGTCTCGTTGATTTCCACGCTATTCCCCCTGGAAACCATTGTGATAAGTACCACGTGTATATGCTACGATGGGCTATTTTTTATTGAGAGTTTTGGGCTATTTTCAGGTACTAAAACCTGTAACACTACGACCTGCATAGATCTGTTGTGCTCTCCCTTTATCAAAGTTTGCTACCTAAACCCGTGAGGGATATTCTTAGGAGCGATGGATCTAACTGACCTAACCTCATGCTTATCGATTATCCTCCACTAGTGTCCCGGCAGCGTATATCGTTATCGCAGGCGGGTGAATGGTGTAAAAAACTAGGGTACTACAAAACATCAACAAATCTACACCACAAACAAAACTCTCATCTTAATCTCTAATATTTATCAGATAAAACCCTGTTTTTGCAGGTTGTTTTTTACTCTTATGAATAATTTTGGACATAAGCTGCAACAAAAACATAATAAGTGTAGATGTAAATAACAGTAAGTACAATATTTTTAATTTATAATTTCAGGTATCAAGTATCTTTGGACTAGCGCCGTTGAGATTCGAGCCTTGTGGTTCGGGCTTCTCAGTCTCTATATCCAATGCAATGTGTATATATAGTTATATATTGGTCACAGTTCTAGGTAAGTGAAAACGAGCTCATTTTCTTCTATATAAATAACTACTGGTCCATTTAGATGAGCACCCGGGCAAAGCCGGGTTCTCATCTAAAAAACTCAAGCTCAAAAACTTTACCAGTTTTTGTATATATTAACATAATATATGTCTTTGTCACTCTGGAATAATATACCTCGAAAACGAATAACGAAATTATAAAATTGCAAGAGGAAATTTTGCGTTAATAAGTATGCAAAAAATGAAATCTTTCATCATCTTTTATGATTAGTATGTATATACTACGCGCAAACTTGCCTCGGTTTCATGTATGTGCACTGATTATAGCGATCTCTATTTTTTGAACCCGCGACCATCGAAATTAAAGCGGTGTGCTATACCGCTAAACCACCGAGGCAGTTTGTTTTTGAGGAAGGCCAAAGACTATATAACTTCACGATAGTAGAAAAGGATCAATAAAAAAAGTTGCAATAATGGGAAAAATGTGACGCATACAAACTTGCGCGGGTCGATCTTTTATAAACAAAACATAACCTTTACTCCTTAGATTTTAATTTTACCTAAATTAATAAAAAAATATTAAAATATAATTCTTCATTCAGACACAGTCAAATTAATGTACAAAAAAAAATAGAAGAAACTTTGTGTGCCGCAACGATTAATAAGCAACCAACTCAGAACGTAGCAGAATATTCTTATTTAAATAAAATGTATTTAAATTCCAGTTGTATTAACAATATCCGGTTTAGTGGCGGAAATCAATGTGGGCTTGGAATTAGCTGTGCGGATGTCCTCCACCACATCGCAGGTGGTCTCTATGTGCGACATCCTCATAGTGGTGCTCACCGCCGGAGCAGGAGTCTATGGTGCACCGAAGCGAATGCGCAGCATGCTGAAGTTTATGAACAGCATTGCTTCGGTAAGTGACTTATTGGTAGATACATAGATAAAACTTGACTCTTGGAATGTTTGTAGAGAGCCAAATTGAGCTAAAATGTATCAGATTCTTTAAGGTCTTCTTACGCGGCTAAATATTTTAAAGTTGTCAACCATTAGAGTGTAGTATTCCATGCTACGGTCAATTTCATAGACACCGTTCTTTCGGCTTTACGTTACTTTTATAAACATACAAAGTTATCATTCATATTATATCTCTTATTCATATACATTTTTTTTTATTAGATGTACTATTTATTAAAGAGATACATATATTATAGAAAAAAAGTATCAGGGTGACAGGATTTAAAAGACATTAACGTTTTAGCTGGGTAAAGTTAGCAAAAACTTTAAAGTGACAGAGACATACAGACAAAAGTACGAGCTACTAGCTATTTATATGACATTCATATAAATAATGCTTTAAAATATATTTCTTTATAACAGATAATTGAATTTTACGATAGTCAAGTTAAGGAAGATTATTAAAAATTAAATTAAATTACCAATAATTTACTACCTCTTTATTATTAGTTTTAAAATATTTTAAATAATATATAAATATTGCAATTTTGGAATTACCACTCATTTTTTTATTTAATTTCTCACTACATTAAAGTAATAAGTACCAGGATGATAGGTTTTAAAGGAGAACAATATTTCAGGTTGATACCAGTATAGGTGGGAAATACACTCAAGCGACAGAGCGCAAGGTACGCGCTGTTCTGCTGGCTATTCTGATCTACTTCTTCGTATTGCTAATAGATGACCTCTGTTTTTACGTGGTATATGCTAAAAAAGTAGGCAGGCAATGTAAGTGAACATACATATATTAGAAATAGTTTATTATTTTAAGTATATAACAATGAATGCCTAATTGCCTATTTCTATCTCTCTTCCTCATCATGTTTTATATTTTTTTGTAACATTTTGTAAAAAATTCAGAATTTCAGAAAATTAATAATGTTTTATGTTATATCGTTACATTTTATTAATTATTGCTTTGTTTGTAAAATCTAGGCGAGATTAGTAGGAAAAAAATGTAAAGCCAGCAATGTAAAAAATGGATAAAAAACGCATTATAAAATAAATGGTGTAAAAGGAGGCTTCTCAACCATATGAATTTTAACTTTATTATTATTATTAGTGGTCGCAGAGTAGTCGAAATTCGACCATAATTAATTTAACATTCATTAAAATTATAGACAATTCTAAAGACAAACTATATTAATTTAATATTATTGAACTATATTATTTATTTTATTTCAGGGAACGTACTACTCAACTACATAGGTTTTTATGTACTGTGGTATATGGTGATGATATTGGAACTGCAGTTCGCTTTCACTGCCCTGTCGGTGCGAGCGCGCTTCCAAGCTATCAACGATGCTCTCGTACTTACCGTCAAGAACACGTCTATACCAAGTAAGGGTTTTATTATGTGGTTTGTGCTTTAAGGAATCAAATATCCTCACCGTTGCTCCGCAATACATTTAACAAAATATCATGTATGCCAGGAAAAATATAGACACTTTTAAAAGAGTTCGTTAAACACTAATAGAAGCTTACGTAATGACAAACTCATTTTACCTAAATGCTGTTTAACTAAAGTTAGTAATTCGTTTTATAACAATTGCGTAAGATTTTACATTAAACTACCAGAGACTGTTCTGAATCTGCCTAAAAAAAGATTCAAATGTCGTTTTTCTATGTAAAAAAGTATATTATAATTCAGGAAACTGAAGAAATATTCCCGAGAACTAACTAACGACAGCGCATTTTGTAAATGTCGCTTATGAAATACAGACAGGCAGACACTTTTTCGGATTTATAATGTTTGTAAAGATTAATAATATAATATATGTAACTAGCGACCACTCCGGATTCGTTCCAGTGAAATTCTGGTCGGAATTCCGTTTTTTACATAAATTTCAACCTACGTGACTCACGTACTGAAAGAATAAAAAAATGTAATTTCAAACCACTACTTTCCAGTGTCCGCAGTGGAGAAGACCAGGAGTCCAGCATCGCTGAACATCTTTGCTATAAGCGTGACATCGGCGGACAGCCAGCGTATACGTAACGTGAACCTAACGATGGACACGCACGAAAGTGAACCCACTGTTATTGTGTCCAAATCTGGTATAGTTGCATATTATTATTTCTACCTCTGTTAATAAGATATTTTTTTAATATAGGCATATGGATGACGCATCCGCCTGCGTTAATAGTATATACCGCCATGACACCAGTGTTGGATGATAAGAAGAGAATGCAGACCGGTCAGTTAGGGAATTATGGCAAATATACTGTTTTAAATTTGACGCGGTCATTATTTATACGTATAATTAGTAAAAATCACGGGATTTGACCAAATAAATCAGTTTACCCGTGATCATGGTCGTTGAAGTATCGAAATATCGGGAACTCAGCAAATAAATATAAAACGTGGTAAGATCCCGTGATTTTTACTAATTATACGTACAAATTATGGCAAATTCCCCACAATGCTGTCGGAATCGCTATAGAACGCTGACGCAAACTCGAGAGTTCAGCAATGGTGCTCGTAGGTAGTAGGTACACCATGTGATTTATTAGTGGGTAAGATCCCACACATCCCTTCGTCATCTCTCTGACGGGAGGGCGATCTTTTGAAGATTTTTCCACATGATGTACATACGAGCAATGGCTGGAGTCACGAGATCGCGTTAGCATTCTACTACGACTCCAGCAGCATTGGCCGGGCTGGTAAAGCTGTATAAATGGTGCAACTAGTCCAACTTGTTATCTGTGTAGTGTAGTGGCCCAGTATAGGTAGAATTAAACCACTATCATAGTCGTATTTGTAGACCTTTTTTCTTTTTTTCGGATTACTCTAATGCTGTTGGCCGCATCTGGACTTTACAGCTTCACCGGACGATAGTAGGCGAGTGCACATGGCACTCCAAACCTGAAGGAATTATGGAGCGGCTGAAGGCCAAGTCCTACCTGGTGGATAGGACTTTAATCTAAGGACACTACTAGGGGTTCAAACTTCGAATTAGGCCGTCGCAATTTCGATCCTCGTTAGAATTAGACCGGAGATCGATCGTATCGTACGAGCGCCATTATTGGAGTTGTGAGGTTGTAATAGCATTTTAACGCGACTGCTGCAGCATTGGCACTTCCTGTATAAATAGTGCAACTAGTCCAACTTGTTATATGATAGATTTGTTATATTTTAGTGGCGGGTGAATCCCGGTTGATGGTGTCCGCCAGTAAAGCGACCCATCAGCTTTCAATGCTGCACGGGGCACTGTGTGACGTGGTGCACAGGATCGACTCCAGCTACGGTTTGCCAGTCATTGTCATACTAATGTCCACACTATTGCACCTCATCGTGACGCCATATTTCCTTATCATGGAACTTAGTGAGTTATTTAAGTTTAAACTTTGTAAATTCAAAGAAAGCCTTAGTATAAAGTTCTTTTCCTCTTAGGAGATAACCCTGTAAGGCATTTGTTTTTTTTATACTACGGTAGTGGCAAACCAGCATACGGCCCATCTAATGGTAAACGGCTATCGTGGATGCCTGAAAAAGGGGTGTAATGTGCTCGTTGACGACCCTTAAGAAACCTGAAAAAAAAATTAAAGGGGTTTTCAAGATATATACCCTTATATCTTGAAAACCCCCTTAATTTTTTTTTAGTGTTAATTTGATATATCCATTTTTGTACAGGCAAGGAATTTTCCATGTATCATATACTTAAATGTTCTGTTAAAATAAGCTTTCAAGTATTTGACTGAAAACTTAAATACTGATAATGATAAAAATAATAACAAAAATCCATTGAGTTTCTTGCCAGCTCTTCTCAACTGATGTAACTAGTTTTGCCGGTGTTGCCATCAAAAATATTCGCTGAAGGCCATCTTCGAATTCAGGACGTTTAGGGTTGATGTTTAACCAATGGGCTACGCAGGACGCTATTAAAAGCACGTTGTTTTATTCCATACTAATATTAATGAGAAAAAATGTGTGTATGTCTATTTGTTGCCTTTTCATGACTAAATAGCTGAACATGTTTTAATGAAGTTTAATGTAACTATAGATAGTCTCGAAGCTATCTTTTGTCCAAATATGCAGACAAGGTCACGTGTAAGAGTTAGTATGTAACAAATTAACTAGAATATAGCCCTGGTGACGTTTCACTCAGGCTATTGTTGTACTAGGTTAACATAAAACAAAGAAATCTACATTGCAGTCGTGTACACGAACCGTCTTCACTTCTTGGTGCTGCAGTTCCTGTGGTGTTTCACTCATCTATTGCGTTTAGTTATCATCGTTGAGCCATGTCATTACACAATCATTGAGGTGATTTGTATGAAGTTTTTTTTGTATGGATGATGATGGAACGGTGCACCCGCCTGCGCTAACGGTATACGCTGGCGGGGACAATAGAGAATGAGGGCATCTTGAGCTTGAAATATATTTTTAATAAATAATTTTTTTTTAATTATAATATAATAAAAAATATTTAATAAATAAAAGATGTGAACAATGCTGGACCGATCGTCGTGGAGATCGTTGGGGAGCCTATGTCCAGCAGTGGACGTCTTCCAGGCTGCAATGATGATAATGAAAATTTGAGATCGAGAATATATCTTTAAATAACTGATAATATAATGTACATTTGTATGCAAGAGTATAATTGTTTGTATCGCTCTGGGTGTTTTATATTTACATAATGTATGTAAAAATGTATCTAAGTATATCACAAGCACTTACCTTAAGATTAGATGATGAGGTCTGAATTGTTATAACATTTTTTTTAATCTATTTTATACATATATAACCGTATCTCATAAAATGTAACTGGATGCTGTCTGTATATAAAAGTATACATAAAACTATTATTGAGTTTATTTTTTTCAAAAAAACTGCTAAAATTCTAAAATTCAAACTCTAAGTCATTGAGTTTTGCCTGTTTGACTGTTTGTGCGCTTATCTCAGGAAAGGTTTAACCGATTTGCCTTAAATTGTACCAGGGTAAAAGAACACAGAGCCTGGTGAGCCGACTGATGTCCTTAGCTCCGTCTACTGGAGAATTATCCACTAGGCTCGTGGTATTCTGCCGACAACTGATGCTGCAGGCCGTTTCCTACATGCCAATGGGGATGTGCACTTTAGACCGACCGCTTGTCGCTTCGGTGAGTTTTTTTATGTACACGATTTATATATATTTTGTATATACACGAATGGCAAAACATGACCAGCCACCTGATGGTAAATGGCATACTATTCATATACGTATAGATACTGTTGATTTTACTATTTGACAGTTTGTATTTACACATTTATATCCCACATATTACCTTTTACCTCTGCATCATCTCCGGAAGCATCACCCTCGGGGGTCTGGGTTAGCAGACAACTAGCAAAACAATAAATTAGATATATCTGTATGTGTGTATGTAAGATGTAGGCCTGTAAATTCGCAAGGTTATTTAAATATCTAGAGAGAATAAGAATTATACACATATATATGTTGGAAGATTTTGCGATAAGGCCGCCCAATATTAGCTTTGTCCTGCAGATAGTAATAATATGTTTTTATCTATTTGTACACATTAATTTATCTAATTGTATTTTGTATGACGGGAACAATAAATAATTTTCATTTTATTTCATTCCCCTTAATATATAATTTTATACATAGATCGTTACATAAGCCTCTCTTGTTTTCAGATACTGGGAGCAGTTACTACGTATTTAGTTATACTTATACAGTTCCAGAGATATGATACAACATAATTATATAATTATATTTAATATATTTATGATTACTAGAAGAATCTCTAGTTGTTTTATTCTGGCTGAAGATATAATACTAGGCTTGTTACCAGTGTGTTGTTTACACACCAAGTCACATGTTGAGCGGAGCGTGTTCATTCTCAAAAACTCGGCTTTCAAAAATTAAATTAATTTTTTTTCAGTAGCGAATGATTTTTTTCCGCCATGCTAAGTCTATGGTAACTTTTATCACCGACCATTCCTCAAGGACATGACCGATGGGAATTTTTTGGAGTCGTAAGCGATGCAGGCCCGATGGTCGACATTCGATGAAATTTTGGTCTCGATCGATCCGTTTTGTAGGAGTATCGTTACAAAGAGTGCAAATCTGTTCTCTAAGATAGATCCGCACTTCGCGCTCCGCTGAATAACAATATATATTAATAATTATATGATAAATAGCTGTACCCGCGACTTCGTCCGCGTGGAATTTAGGTAACTTTATTTTTATAAAATTAAAGTAGCCTAAGTTACTCCTTATTACATCAGCTATCTGTCAAAAAAAGTCCCGTCAAAATCGGTCCTGCCATTTCAGAGATTAGCCGGAACAAACAGACAGACAGACAAAAATGTACCGTATTTATATTCGTATGTAGAAAAAGAATGATTATTTCAATATTACAAACAGACATTCCAATTTTATTTATATGTATAGATAAAGGTATTTACCTCTCTCGACGTTTCGACTAGCCGTGGACTCGAGCTTATTGGAGTAACAGCGATGTCAATGGCGGTAGGTGCCAGCAGTTTTCTTTTATTTTGCCATATTCAGATCACGAAAACATACCGACTTTAATCACATTATTAGGATAACTCAAGAACTACCGATTAAATCTTGAACAAAATTATATGAATGAGCTTTTAAATAACAAAATAATTTTCAAAAGCAGTCCAGGTACAATAAAGTTATGTGATACACATAAAAATAAAGTCGAAAAGAGAACCTTCTCCTTTTTAAAGCCGGTTAAAAATAACCACCTTCAGTATTAGTGGAGGTAACTCGTCAGCTGGTACATAGATTCACAATCTTGGCTCGTAAAATTCTTATGTAAACTCGATACAGATTAGTGATGAGCGATATCTATCGATAAAACATCTTTAAATAAACAATACTACATAATATTAGAATAGAATAGAAAATCCTTTACTCAAATGAACTTAATTTAAACACTTTTGAATAGTCATAGTTATCCTTCTTTAAATCTAGCTGTCACTTCACAAGAAGAACAAGCAATGAACTTGCGTTTGCTCTATTAAATAATCGTTGTAACTTTACATTCCTAAGTCAAAACGTGTGAATACAAACTACTGACTAGCACTAATTTATTAGGATCAAATATTAAACGCACAATAATATTAAATCATTCGTAGTGATTAGCAAACTAGTCATTACAAGCAGCACTCCTTCATGAGTATGACATTAAATTAATATAAAAAAAATATTAACATAAAACTTTCATATCAATAGTCATAATATAAGCATACGGTTGTAATGGTATTCAGATGGTAGTCAGAGTAATATTCAATAGTCGAATTTATGGTTTGAAGTTTATTTATACCTATGTGTTACAATTGAATGTGATAAGGGGTTGTTAATTGTTATTGGTGTTTCATGCATCGGAGAGTAAATTAGAAAACAAAACGACGTTGATAGTTTCTAGTGTCCGTCAAATTCGAAATCACGCCTTTAGAGTCCATAAACACAATAGTAAAGTCCACCATGGACACTATTCGTAATAATAAAATAATGATTATTATTATGATCCTATCAACTTATCATTATTGACTGGCATGATAACAGGTTAATGACCTATAATTTATATAATACAGTACTTTCGAAAATAGCATTAATCTTCTTTCAGTCAGAGGATTTTCTTGAAAGATGTCTCTAAGAGATAATCTGAGGCCACAATTTAGGAATGTCTAGACCCGAGCCAATTTATAAAAGTACGTTTCGTGAATTGACCTGACCGAAGATAAAACCTGCAATATAACGAAGTGTAAGTTCGTTGCCGGAACCTCATTTACTCGAAAGCCTCTGCTCTGAAAGAGACTTATTTTCTAAATGGTTTACATTTCGATAGATTGTGAGTCTGTCTGTGTAGATATATATGTGTATATAACCCACAACGATAAAAAGAAGTCTATCTATTTAACTGTGAGTTTTTCGTTTTATTTATAATTTCGTTGTCATTATAAATACAAGGATGATTAAGACACTAGGAGAAAGCAGTGTAATTTAGAGAATAAGGTTTGACGATAGTAGTAACAAGATGAGTCCTCGTTATCTGCTAGTAAACACAATTATCTTAGCACATTTTATTTATATAACATGCGCATATACATTACATTAAAAAATAAAATATCCATATTATATTTTTAATAATTACTTGCTTGATTTATTTCTCTGGTAAGGTAAATGGGTACAATAGAATTTGGTTATATAATTTTCATTTACGCATATTCTTATTTATTTTCTCTATAAATTTTGAAGACATATACCTATAAAACTATTTTTATAATAATGTTACAACAAATTAATTCACTAGAAAACCGAGATTAATACAAAAAAAATGTATTACATTTATATTGATTGATTTTAACAATAAATACAATGGAAAATATGTTTTGAATAAATATTATTTTAATATTAATAATATATTTATATTTTTCTTGTCGATAAAAAAATACAGTAACAAACACCGCACTACGACATAGACGACTAAGGATTCTAGGTTCATATTCGCAAATGGCTTCACATTACGAGCTATAGCCAGCGACGTGAGTCTTGCATATAAAATATTAACCATATTTCATATAGTTTTCATATTTATTTCATATTAAAACATAACTGTATATGTAATATTGTCTTATCTATGCCTCTATCGAAAGATACATTCGTCTGTGCTATACTTAGGATGGGAAAACTAATAATCGATTCTTGAAGAAATCTATTTCGTTTAATAAAAATTACTATAATTGATTAAATAATAATAGAACTTTACAAAAACCCACATTTTTGGATGCCTTTGCACGTGGATGTTCTAATTTTTCCTGTAGAACCTTTTTGGATGAGAAACACGAAGCTTTTTTTACGCAGAAAGCCAGATGCCTACTGCGGTAACACATCTATGGGACACCAGTGGATGATGATAAGATGAGAATAAAGTCAACATGTCATAACATGTCTATATAAAAAAAAGGCTAAAATTTTACTTTTATTTTTCATATGAGTGATTATGTAGTGCACCTGCCTGCGCTAACGGTATATGCTGACGGGACACTAATATAGTATGATAAGATGAGCATGAGGTCATGTCAGTTGGCCCATCGTGATAAATTTCCCTGAAGCTGACCTCCCCGGTACCTTGCTAGCAACGGGGTTATTAGTCCACATTACTATTAATCCCTTTCCACCACTCTATATATGTTAGTAATAAGCACAGATGATTGTATTGTTAGCAATGTACCATATCAGGTTGACCTCCACGCGGTTCCCCCTGGAAACCATCGTCATAAATTCAAGATGAATTTATCACGATGGGCTAACTGACATGGCCTCATGCTCATCTAATCATCTTCCACTGTTGCCTCGCCAGCGTAAACCGTTAGCGCAGGCGGGTGCACCATTCCATTATCATCGATAAAAAAAGAAATTAGTAAACACACTAAGCTCTTTAACGGCATGTGGCAACTATCACCTATATACATGAACAGCACTACAACCTCAAGTCGTCATATGCTCATGATACCTCATGCTTTGCCTTCGTACAGTACCGTGGCCACAGAGACAGTTTATACATTTACTAGCCGTCCAGGCTTCGCACGGACACAATCATGGAATTTCTCGGCTTGTTCTATACTATGATACACATGTATCATACATATAAACCTATCTTGAATCACTCGCAAATCGTTTTTCAGTAATAAGGCCGCCCATTGTTGCGTCTTTCCTTTGTCAATGTTGTATGTTTGTACATATTTATATATTAATAGTGTATATAAATGTTTGTATTCTGTGAAGACAACAATAAAGAATTTTCATTTCATTTCACTCTATCTATTGCTGAAAACTGCATTTAAATCCGTTGCGTAATTTAAAACAATATAGCGAACAGACAGCAGACTTTGTACTATGTAAAGATATTTATTTATATTATTATTAAATGTATATGTTTGTCTATAAGGTATTTATTATATGTGCTATTAGTAGCCTGAAATATATAAATAAAAAACACAACTTATAAAGAAATCTACTCAGTGGCTAAAGTTTTAGGTAGAGATACTCACCCACGCAAACAACATTTAAAAATGAGTAAAAATCACGGGATCTTACCACGTTTTATATAGTATTTATTTGCTGAGTTCGGGTAAACAGTTTACTCGTGATCAAGGTGGGCGAAACACTGCCGAAATATCGGCAACTCAGCATATAAATATAAAACGTGGTAGCATCCCGTGATTTTTACTAAAGTACGATTATTAATTCCAGTCAGTAAAATGACAAGTGCAACTATCACTGATACAAAAAAGGGTGACCCGCTACAATAGTAATGTTCGGCAATCAATAGACTTAGACATTTAGTCATGCTTTATTTTATTAGGTATCGAAGACTTTTTTTTAATTTTAAATATTTAATACATATCGTATTAAACAATACGATTTTAGAAATATGGACCTTACCAGCATATTAAAATTTCTCACTATAACATTATTACAAAAGCTGGGAAAAAATGTAAAAAGAGATTCAGAGGAATTAATACTAGAATTTTTATTTGTATAAAGGCAATTTGATATTGAATAAAAAAAATGTAATCTCGACTAACTTTTAATTGTAAAAACTCGATTCTACCACATCACTATTTATTTGGGACTAAAAACCTGCAACACTGGAAATGTCATTTTACTGACTGGAATTAATAATCTTACCTTAATTATACGTATAAATAACGACCGCGGC